GAGCTCTCATGGCCTAGAGGTTAAGGTGTTCGCCTCTCATTCAAAGGTTCCGGGTCCGGATATTTTTTTTCTCTAAAATTGTCTCCTTTCACCTCCTTTCCTGCTCTCTAGAAATATTCTGTCGTCTGCTTTCGTCTCCACTTTCTGCCCCCTTCCCCTCACCTCCTATGCCCCCTCCTCTGGGCTCCTGACTCTTTCTGCTGCCTCTGCATCTCCTTGGCTCCTTCTTACTGCTGTCTTTCAGCCCACCCCTGTTCTTCTGGTAGGAAAGATCTTCACTTAGCGTTCTCGGACAAGGGCGAAAAATCTCGGAGGTCCCGTGTGCAAGTTGCACAAGCTAAAGAGCCCTTGGTGATCCAAAATCGATAAGAGTAGGCTTCGGCCGCCACCCGGGCAAAATTCAAAATTTCCTACCAACTGAACATGTTGGGTGTGTCCAGCGCGGTCATATGACCTAATACAACCCTCCCCCCCCATAAAAAACAACAACAAAACAAAACAAAAACAACAACAACAACCCCTATCTTGCTTAGTAAGAGATAGCGCGTCATACCACAACGTAGTGAAAGAAGAGGACAAATTCCAACAAGTGCAAGCAGGAAAGAGGAAATAAAAGATCGGCTGAACAAAGAGCATATCATTTGCACCGTCTCAGCTTAAACCCGAGCTACTTTTGCTAGTTAAAGAAAGCATAAACAGCCAAAGATTTCAAGTTGCTACAATTGTGGAATAGCACGGACACATTATTTTGCCTACGGTTGCCATCCTACCACTCCCATTTAAATCCAAATGAACTCGTCTGGGCGAAGATCAAAGGCACAGCTACATCCCAAAATACAACCTTTAAACTGAAAGATGCCACGCTGCTAACATAAAATGCGATGTCTAGAGTGGACAAAGTTTATTGGCGGTAGTGTAAAACGCATGTAAACGTATGGAGGACGAGTATTGGGAGAAGGAAGGATTTCAGTTTATCCAACCAAGAGTAGTCATCAACCCAAGTGAAGGCTTTTCTGATTCGCTGACAGAAGAAAAGAAGGCCAATGCTCAGACAACTAACTTCTTGTCATATTTTTTTTGTTGGGTACACCCCTGAATGTGCACATCTTTTCATGTTTTGATTATATACTGTAAGCACTAAATGTGATGAACTAATTAGCACTAATTAGCTACCGAATTGAATTTTCATAATGTCATGGATGCACATAACGATCACAAAAGTATAGTTAAAATCGAACTAGTGGTTGCTGAGATACTTAGTTTCAAACGTGTTCACGAATTATGGACGGACGGGCTGTAACAAATTGCTAGACGTAATGAGACATAGCACCGGCGTCGGTGGTGTAGCCGTTAGCCGCTTCGCTGTCGCACGCGGGAGACCTGAGTTGGATTCTGGAGTGGGGAGAATTTTTATTGAGAATCTTGATCTGTCTGCTGGGATGTTTTACTTCTATCAGCCCGTGTTGGCTCAAGCAGGCAGGGTCAGAAGTCAGCTTCCAAAATTATATAAACTATGTCAATGTGAGTGTAAAAAAAATGTACATTAAAAACGTTTTTTTTAAAGACGCAGTTTTGAAGTCATAGACTCACCGGACATTGAGAGAAATGGTTTTGTTGCCACAGCATAGCTCTAGTTTTGTGACGCAATCTCTAGATATAGAGTGACATGGTTTTGACGTCATAGAAGTTGTACGACGCAATCCCTGGACATTCAGAAACATGGTTTTGAGAGTTCAGCTATCACCAATCAACTTAAGGATGTGAGGATATACAGGCCCAGAGAGGTTCCCTCGATGGTGTAAGAACTTATGGTATGTTTACACAAGGTGTGCACACCATGCGACCTGTCCGAGTCGGTTGTCGATCGAACCGTGGCCTCATTCGACAACGACATTCTTTGTGAATTACAGATCCCACAGAGATATCTG